GCTGAGGGCATGGAAGGTTCCTGGTGTCAGGAAAGTCAGGTTGTTCCCATCTAGCCACAGGCTGTGAAGGAAAGTCAAGTTTCTGAAGGTGTTGGTGGTGAGAATCCGCAAGTAATTATTGGTGAGGTTTAGAGAGGTGGTGGATGATGCTATTTCTCTAGGGAGAGCTTTCAGTCCAGCTCTGTTACAGAGGATAGTCTCTTCAGATGTACATTTGCACATGCTTGGGCATGAATCAGAGATATTCAGACTCAGCCCAGCCTTTGCTGCACAAGTAAATATAAATATAACAGGAAAGAACATGACCAGCCACACATCAGCCACTGCATCTAATACCTGATGGATAGTAGAGAAGGAGACAAAAAAAAGAGTATGTACCTGTTGGGCAGGTGAACCGTGGCCATTGCAGGGTCGGTTGGGCTGCGCACGGTGAAAATAAAGTAGGTGGTTCTTCCTGCTGCATCCGGTGGGGATTAAGTGTTTAGGCACATGAAAGCCGATTACGTGCAGCCCTGCTGTGAAGAGCATTTCTGAGAAGCAGGGAGATTTCTTAGCCTAGCAACATGCTCTGACAGTGATTTTTTCCCACCTGGTCCATGCAAAGACCAGCAGGTAACAGACTTCCCTCAGGATCTGTCTGGGAGACCTCCTGCTGGTGTGATATCATCATTCTCAGAGTCTGCTTGGCTCATAAGCAGTTTTGGGGAAATGTTTTGTACTTTTCTCCAGTTAGTGCTTCAGCAAAGGCAGCTGAGGGTGGCTCTGCCATCCAGTATGAGATGGGGGCTATCACCCTGGTGTGGCTGCACATGCTGCCTCAGGCCCAGGGAAAAGGAATTGTGACCGAGCCCTGAGCACAGCCCTGGCAATGTGATAAAATGGGAGTCTGTCAGTCAGGAATGTGCAGGGGAGTACCATGTCCTGACTCAACCTCTTCAAAGGATAAGCCCTGAACCATCTATGAGTGGTAAAAGATGATCCCCACGGGCAAAACACAGAGCACCCCAGGGACATGCTGCCCTTCCCAGGGCACTGCTGTCTCCATCAGGTCTGAGGATGCCACTGAGCATCTGGAGCTGGGCTTGGGTCCCTAAAAACCTGTGTCCTTGACTCTTCCCTGGTTTTTATCCTATATCCACAGTGCAAAGGAAGAGTGCAGTCAGGGGGCTGGTTGATGCAACCCAGCAGCCAAGGATCAGCAATCTGCAGGCTGATCATTTTGCTTATGATGCCAAGAGGACTAGACCCAGGGCTTGCAGCTGGTGTGTCAGTAGGGCAGCCAGCAACACATTGCTGCTTCTTGTTTTTTGTCACACTCTTAATTTTTGTTTTCCACCTCATTTCTCTCTGCTGGAGTTCTCATGGGTTTGATGTGTTTGAAACACCTTCTGTCAGTCTCTTCTCCAGTGCATTTCCCTGCTCTGAAATTCTTGGCCGTTTTCAGATTTTTTCCTTTTCCATTCTTTACAGATTCGTGTTTTCTTTCTCACCCCTGCTCTGCCTGCTCTGTCCAGACAGTGGCTAAAAATCCAAATATATAATATACCCAATGGTAAGTGTGAACTGGACAAATTTGCAGCTCTGTTGTTTTCTCAGCAGAAGCAGATTAGATTTCCTGTGCTGTTAAATCACTCTGTTGGCTTCAGCTAGTTCTGTTTCCTTCATTTTTTTTCAAGCAACAACCCCCCAAAGAACAGCTTCTCTGTAGAAGCCTGGCTAGGATGATCATCTTGTGTAATGGAGACCATCTTCCAGCTGTAAACAACATCATTTATTTAATTAGACAGGCTTTGCTGCAGTGTTACTGGGGGTCAAAAGCTGGTTTTCACCAAGAGCAGTGGTGACAGCATCATGCCAAGGGCTTGTCCTTGAAGCCCTGGAGGAAAGTGGAAACGTGCTCTGCTCACACCATCCAGCTGCTCACATCTGGGGTCATGCCAGAGGTTCTGGTGGGTGAATCACTGTTTTCTGTATTCCTGGTTCAGCTGGGACTGCTCCTTTGAGGACATCGGTTTGTAGGGCTGTCCTGCTCCTGGGATCTCCATGGCTTCTCTAACCTCCTGCTGCAGCACAGATGTGAATATCCTTTGCTCCATGACTTTTCCAGTACAACCCTGTGAAAGAGAGTCAGTTTCTGCTGGTCTCTGTGCAGTACAAGTGAGCTGTTCTGTGTCTGCTGGAGTGGTGTCACCTCTAGCTGAAGTTTGTAGCTCAGGCTGAAGAAGATGGATTACTTGCTCTGGTGTCCTTTTTATTCTAAAAAAGCTTTATTTCTGGTTGTCCTTCCAGCAGTGTTGCCATGTTCTAGCCCTTTTTTAAGCCAAGTGCTCCCTCTAACTCTCCTTGATTCCATGTTGGAAATTTTCAGACACCAAAAGCATGTAGTTCTTGTAGCTCATCATTGCCAGATGTTGCTTAACTGAACTAGAGCATTGTGGTGGAACAGGACCACACAGCTGCAAAATGTTTCCTTGCTTCAAAGCTTGTAGGGCCAAGGCAGACCATAAGTATGAAAGTGAACAGATTTTTACACCTGGTCACAGGTTTGGCACTTTCAGTTGCTCCCTGTATTGATTTCACAGTGCACAGGGAGGTGGCAGCTCCCTTGCCAGCATTTTGGCTGTGGCTGCTGCCTGGACCACACTCACTGATGGCAGCTCTGGTTGCAGCTGCCCTTGGGGTGGAAGCAATGCAGTGGTGTGCTGTTGCTCAACACTGAGGAGACCTAAACCTTAGCTGGGGACTGAGTGTTGGTCCAAGATAGTGGCACAGGTATGTCCTGTGTGTGCTGCAATGCCCAGTGCTCCTTTGCAGGAAATGCTCAGCATTGCCTGTACAGCTTCATCTTCTTGAGCATCATCACTGCAACCACTACCATGTCAGATGCTGCAGAGACAAGGTAAGGACATGGTCCTTGAGAAGAGCAGACACATGATTTTTTCTCTAGCTCCTATTTTAACAAACGCTTTCCCACTATGGTCCATTCAATTATGAGCATCCAGCTCTCAGACTGTCTTTTCCAGACTCAGCTCTTTGAACTCCACGTGCAGGGATTTTGGTTGTCTCACTCCATCTGCTTGGAGGGTTTTCTGGAGTGCATCATGTGTTTTGGCTAAGGTGGCTCATCCTTCTGGCTTTAATGGAAAAGCTGAACCACCACAGGTCTTCTGTTAAAATGTATTCCACCCACTGCTTGACCATGGTTGTGTTTGTCTTTTTTTTTTCTGTTTCAGTCACTGATTTATCTGACATCTGGGATTTATAGCCCAGCACACCCACTTCAGAAATTGTTTGTAGCTGATGTCAAGAGCCTTGCCTAATACTGTAGATTTTAAAGAGCTGTATTCTCTTTAGAAGATCAAGGTTTGGTACAGGCTGTCCAAACATCTACTTTGGGATGGTCTTGCTGGTCTGATGAGTTAAAGAAGCAAGGTTTACTTTCTTTAAACTTTCTGTTGGGCAAAGGAGGAGTGAGCAGAATCAGTGAATAACTTTGGTTAAAAGATTGATTAAATAAGGTGGAATACCCAAGTGTCAGGAATATCATGACTCTGACAAAGCTTTATCTAGCTGGTGAACTCTCATGTGTATCAGCATTTTTGGAACATAAGAGAGATTGCTGATAAAAGCACTTAAAAGCAGGAAAGCTGTTTACAATGAGTATAGTTCAAAACAGCAAAGGAATGAAGATTTTTATTTTTAAAAGATTGCTGGAAAGAGGCCCCTTGGGTCCACTGTAGCTCTATAAAACTGGCCACAGAGCCCTAACTCTTCCTAAATATCACTTTGAGACCCTAAAAAAGAATGTGAAGCATGCTCTCACATCCTTTAAATGCTGGCCTATATACAGATATATTCATACTAATAAAGCAGAAGTTAGACAGGAGGCACCTCTCTCCCACAAGCTGTGGGCATCAGTCTTGACTTAAGCTGTTCATCACAGCAACTGCTCTGGGAGAAGTGAACAGGAGAAAATTACCTGTGATGAAAAAACGTTCATTATGAAAGCTGACTGTGGCTTCTTGCTGTGATCCAGCTGAGCAGATCTCAGTTGCTGGAATGCTATGTTTGGGACATAGCAGCATCAGTGGCATTTAGGCTCTGTGCCTGTTGTGGGCAAGCCCTGGTGTCTGGTGGTTTATCTGTGTCTGGGGACACGGCTCAGAGCTGTGCAGCACTTGGGAATGGAGTTTTGGCCAAGTCCTGTTGCCTCCAGCAGGACCAGGAATGCTGCAGTGCTGCCCCTGAGAGTGGGTAGCAGTGCCAGGGTGCATGTGCACTCACTGCCTTTAATAGAGACGGGTGCAGCTTGTTTTCAAAATCACTTATGTGCTTGTTTTCTTTCCTACTTTTAGTAACTCATAAAATGCTTATGGCCAATTGTTTGAACAAACAATGTCATGGAGCATAATCCTAGTCTTGGCAGTGCTATCAGCTGGACAAAAACATCTCATAAAATAAATGCTTTGGAAAAGTTTTCTGCATGCTGGAGGTGGAAAGGGCATCCCTCTTACCTCGAAACTGCCTCTGTCACACTCTAGATACTGAACTGCTTCAAAAACTGGCTTCTTTCAGCTTTGAAGGTCTACTGAATGGGACCAGAGCTCTCTGTCCCCATACTCTGATGGGTGCTGCCTGGGTGGCCCTTGTGTTCACTGCTGTGCTGCTGTGAAGTGGAAAAGCAGGACTTTCCCTTGGCCTGCTCAGTGCTTCCATGTGAAACCATGGCTCCAGGAGGGAAAGTGAAACGCTGAGCAAGGTCTTCCCTTTGAAAATCCTGGTAGTTCTCCCTCTTGGCCAAAACACTGGGTTTGCAGACACAATCAGCCAAAACTGATTGTTCTTCAGAGGTAAATGAGACAGAATTAAATTCAGCACACCAATGCAAGACACTGTCTTGCAGGACACTGCAGCTGGGGACTGCTCACAACTGCTCTCCTTCAAGACCCCAAAAAGGATGCAGGACAGCAGCCTTCTCTGCAGAGGGCTCTGGGCCTGGGGAAGGATGATGTACGTAGTCCAATCTTACTTGCAAGACTGAGCAATTAACCCCTAACGAAACCCTTAGACAAACCAATGTGGGAAGGAGGAATACATATAAAAGTTTGTGGAGCACTGGATGAACCCAGCTGCAGGCTGGACAGTTTTTGTGAGTGGCTACAAAAGACCTGTCATTTAGCATGATGCAAAAGCACCATCCAGCATGATGGAAATCATCACTGCCCTGGCAGTACATGGATGCTGGATCCCCAAGTTCTACCACCAGCCCTGGGACCAGGGAGACAGTGTATCCTACTGTAAATCAACACTGAGGGCCACAGAGCCACAGTGACCTATATTGGGTTATGCCTCCTGGGGAACACATTTATGAGAGATTTTTTTTCCCTCTTGCTTTCTCCAAAAGGAACAAATCAAGCCCATGAATGTAGACTGTAGTCTACATCTGGATCCCACATTGCTTTGAGGATTTGGCAGGCTGGCAAGGTTTAACCTCAAGAGGTGGCTCTGACAGCCTGCTGGCACAGTCAGATATGCTGCCTGTTTGAAATAGTCCATCTCTGACAGCAGCACTTCCCTGCAAAATCCAAGACTTAGGACTCGGAGTGCAAGGATTTATTTGCATAGTTGATCAGAAATTGCTGTTTGAATTGTGTGTGGCAGTGGTTTTGTGAGGGTGGTGGTTTTGGGGTAGTTTTTTGTTTGGTTTGTGGTTTTCTAGTTTTTTTAACTAGAACAAAAGGTTCTAGTGACTTCTTGACCTCTTCAGATGCATGGTATTGAGGATAGACAGACAAACCTCAGTGCTGCATGTGAACATACAGCAAATTCTTGCTTCTCTTGAACTATGATTTTTTAATTTTTTTCTTGGTATAAAAGACATACTTAAAATCCTTATGCAAATCCATCCTCCAAAAAGCACCAACTTCTCCCCACTTAAAATCAAACATCATCTTGTGGTGAAAACTCCCAGCTTTTGTAACTTTGCAGCCAGATAAGCAGTAAAGATGCTCTGCCTTGTGCTGAGCTGTGAGCTGAGCTCTGCTGCAGTGGAGCCATGTGCTGGATTTACCAGCCTGGCTGTGGAAGCTGGGCAAACACATCTGGTAAGTTCAGAGTGTGTTGGACCAGCTTCAACGGTAGCTTTGGCACAAAGTTGGTTTGTGCAGCTTGGGAACCTGCATCAGGTGTCCTGTTTCACAGCTGTTCATGTACAGGTGATGCTCAGGTATAGTGAGAGGAGGAAAGAAATGGTGGAGGAAATAGAAGAGAGAGGAGGTTTGTACATTGGTGAAATGGAACTTTGGAGTGAGAACTGGCAGGGGGAAGAATGGGAGCAGGATTTGTCAAAGGGCAGCCTGAGGTATGACCCCATTGCACCAGGTGTGTCAGGACCATTTCTTGTCTACTAAGCTGTATGAACTCAACACAAAGTCTCAGTTTTGTAGGTAGAGCAGAATAGACAGTATCTGTGAGGATCAAAAGTGCATCTGGAAAGGAAAACTTTATATTGAAATCTAAACAATTTGTGTTTGTTATTTTTGCAAAATAAACATTCTTGTGCATTTGACTTTTTCCCTGCTTATAAAGCATTTGGTGAGGCATCGAGCAAGACCTTTCACCAGTTGTTTGTGAGCAAAGTGACTAGCAGCAAGGATTACTGGCTTAGGGTGTCCTGTCACATCTTTTTAGTAAAAGAATTGAATGAATATGGGTCAGAGAGAGTGCTGACCTGAGGCAGGGTTCATACAGGGGAGGACTGGAGGCAAAAGATGCCTCCTTTCTTTGCAGCAGGACATGTGACCCTGCACTTGCACATCCCTTGTGCTCCTACTGAACTGCTCAATAGATGTCTGGTTTGAAGAAAGGACAGAGTTCCTGCAGTGTGTCTCTGGAAGGTGCATTGTCTGTTTACTGGCTTTTGAACAAAACAAGTCTCTTGGTCATGGTTGCTGTATGTGGAAATGGAGTGTAAATATTAACTGTAAAGTTTTTAGTTAAGTCTTGACTCTTCCAGCTCCTCAACTACTATGGATGTCACTGTCTCCTTTACAAATTTCCTTTATTTTTTGCTGAAGAATACAAATTTCACTGATTACAAGGTGAATCCTCTTCTTCCACCTTTTCCATGACTACCTTAAAAGACAATATGGAGAAATGAGTGGGGAAAATGAAGGAAAAAAGGATGCACTAAATATCAAACTAAACATTTATGGAAAAGGTGAGTGTGTGCATAGGTGATGTTCATATATATCTATATATCTATATATCTATATATCTATATATCTATATAGGATGTGCTGACATGTCAGTAGTCTAACTGGCTGTGGCATGCAATGCTTGAGGCTTTGCAATAGATGAGGTCTCCCACTGCAATGCTGGTGTGACTGCTGTGATGTTCCTCTGCTTTCTATCCCTGTGTGTACACATTATGGTCAGCTCTGCCAGAACTAACAGCCTATTTCACTCTCAAATGTACTAGGAAGTGCTGGGACTCCATGGAGTGCATGGGAATCCCCAGCCCTCAGAGAAGCAGGAATCCTTGCATGGAGACTCCCATGTGTTGCATGTGCACGTGGAGGGCAGAAAGGACTTGCGTGTGGGTGTATCCTTCTGGCCCAAGAGCTGCAGTAGAAAACCACAGGGATATTTATGTGAATTTCCTTTTTCCTTCTTGCTTGAGGTTTTTTTTTCTCTTTTTGGCTCTCTTGTTCCTCTCTCCTGATTTACTGCATGTGCTCACGTGGCCTTGGAAAGGGGGGTTCTCAAACTGTTTTGCTTCCAAAAGGAAAAGAAGTTGGCAGGCATTCATATTTCAGTTCTCCAGTTATGTAGGTTAAAGTCTCCCAGTGGGAAAATGGAAGATATGAGAGAGCAGATTGCTGGTGGCGATACTCACTAGAAGGAAAACAGAAAAAAGAAAGGAGCACAGAATTCTAGAGCCACATCCAGACAAATGGGAGGTTTGAGAGGTAAGTTTTCTGTCTGCTGTTAGAGCATAATTTCCATGTATTTGATTCAATTTGTGATAGTGTCTCATTGGGTCTGAAGTAATAGTAGGAATGACTAGCTTAGGAGAAGATTCTAAGGCACCAGTTGTTGGTGTGCAGAGCAGGGAGCATGTGTGTCAATGGAACCTTGTTCTCAGTAATGTAACTAAAATTCATTATGGTGTGGTTCCCTTATTAGGAGTAAGTCAGACACATAACGCTTTGTGACTGGTTCTGAGATTTCAGCTTCTGTATGTTAAAATGAGGGATTCAGGACATAAGAGTTAAGGGTGAAATGGGACTTCAGAGCCTCTCCTGAATACTTGTTCCCAAATAAAAAGCTTTCCTCTGGTTTAAGACCTGTTTGAATACAGAACTTGGGCTTGTGATCCACTGCTTGTGATCCACTATTTGTGACTTTTAATCCTGGCACTCGGCAGAAATTCCCCTACTGAATTTTCAGTGTTGAAATGATATATTTAGAATTAAATTCTTGTCAGTATATTCAAAGTAGCATATTGCATATTTGCATTGAGCAAATAATAAGCTACTGTACACTAAACTGTTAATACAGAAAAATGTGTTTGAAATGACCAGTTGTCTTCTGTTAAATGAGGTCAACTATGTTGTCTTGGTCAAAATTTCAGTCATTTTTAGGACTCCTTGAGAATGGTTCCATAAGGTCTTAATTAAAAAGGAATTGCATTTTTCTATTAAGTAAAATAAAATATTTGGGTATGATCTCTTTTTTATTTGCTATAAAGTCTCAAAGTTTGAAAGATGCCCTGCTCAGAGTGCAGACACAAGCTATGGAACTGGAACAAAGACAGACCTGTCAGTTAACTGTCATTTTAGCTGTTTTGTAGCTACATTTCCCCCTGTTGAAACCCAGTCCTGACCTTTCTAAACGAATGTCACATACTACTGTTAAATCCAATGCCTGGAAGAACTGAGTTTATTGCTTGTGTCTACGTTGAAATTATTTCTTTTACTGTTCTGATTAAAGCTGTCGTGAGGGCAGGGGATGCAGATTTGCGTTGAGAAGGACTCTGACAGTGAGTGACATTTTGTAAAGACCCTTCAGTGTCTTTGTATCCAGCCCTGCGAATTAAAAAAAAAAAAAAAAAAAAAAAAAAAAAAAAAAAAAAGTCACAGCTTGCTTTCCTAATGGCCTTGTTAAAAGGCTGCTTTCATGCCTGTGAAGTCCCAGGAGAACCTCAGGTGTGAAGTACCTGATCCCCTCTGGCGCTGCTGCCTTTCTACCTTATTTTAACTGCTCAGAGTGCTGGAAATAGTATGAGAAAGCCGAGAAAAGGATCATGAGGAGCTTCAGTGTGGTATGTGAGTCACAGAAGTTCCCAAAGTGTCTCCAGCACCTGAGTTCATAATCTTTCTGCTCTGCTAGCCACAGAAAGTACCATCTGTAATCACAGATAAAACCCAGCTGCTTGCTGCTCTGCCAGGCTAATTAAAAAGTGCTATGACCTCCCTGGGGCTAATTGTGTCCTGTCAGTGGG